AAGTACTGAACCCAAGGCCCTTCATGGGTTGTAGTGGTACAGTTTTTTTAATTTTATTTATTTTTTTTATTTTACAAAAATAATTATTTATGGAATTGTGATTTTACAAGATGTATTTATTTAATACAGTTGTAAATGTCATTAAGAAATAAAAAAAAAAAAGGAATTATAATTAATGTTATAAATATTATATGTACGATTACAAGGTTATATTATTAAAACGAATAGACAGTATTGATATATCCATTAAATTGTTTTTTATAAAAATAAAAATACACTGTTAATTTTTTACCTATAAATTTCCTTTTTTTGAACCTAATAATTTTTTTTATAAATCTTTTTATTGAAAATTAATACATTTTGCCACATAATAATTTATTACTGTCCTATTTCGGAACTTCAGTATGAATAAAAAGGACTACTGTTTACACCCTCCCTCCAAAAAAAACATTTTATCAAAACTAAATTACATTATAATAAAATTATACTACATTATATTAACAAGTTTCATCCCTTTCTGTCCAGTTAAAATCATAATTAAAACCAGGATATCGGCCATAGATGTAAATCATCGTTCTAAAAATGTTTTAAATGAGAGAAACAACATAATAACGAACATTAATAATTTTAAATAAATAAAATGAATTCATCAAAAAGTTTAAAAATAAGATTTATAAACAAAAGATATAAAAAAATATAAATTTGAATACAAACCTACCATTAAAATTGCAAACCTGTATTGTAATATGAAAGATAAAATACAAATATAAAACTAACGGTTTGAATTCCCCAGGAGTATGTATATTACCGTAAAAGTGGATACAACATAAATGATCGAATATACTAGCATTAAGATAGAATTGGTTGAACATCATGCTGAAGGACACAAATTTAACTTCAAATATCTTTAAATCTGCATAAAGGGAAGAAAAACAATTATAGAAATATTCAGGAAAGTAAAATTAAATGCATCTACAAATTACAGAAAATTTAAATAATTCTGTAAATTTTATAACAGATTCATAAGATAATAAACAATCCATGCAGAATTAATTAACAATCTAAGTAAATAATGCATCACATTTCAATACCACGTTTCATAATTTATTTCACCTTAGAGTGCACCTAAACAGTTCTCTTTTTCCATTAAATCAGAGAAAAATGATATTTGATAAATAAGGTTGTTTCAATGGAAAATATGGAGATATTACTCAAATGAGGTACAATGAAGTGTTACAATAAGAAAAAAATGTTTATATAAAAAATAAAACTTTTAATAAAGAAGTATAAGTATATTTTTAGATTTAAGTGGATATTGACCATTGTGGCAGTTCTCAAACTTTTTGCCTATGGCAGGCTGAAATTTATCAATAAAATCCATAATACTTCTATATTATCATTTTTTTAATTTTTACAGTTAGTTAAAATGCACTGGAACACTTTTTTTTTTTACAAAACAATAAGATTAGGACGATGAGTAAAGTTAAAATATTTTTTGTAGAATTTAAAAGGAATAAGAGACAATGAGACCTTTGAACTAAATACTGTTTGTTTCATAGTATAGAAACTGAACATTTTTGAATTTTGTAGTTCATACGTCCGATGTTAATTCTATTGATGGATCTCATCAATAGACAATATATCCAGCAACATTAGATAGCGATTTATGCTCAGTTTAGGAATGACCTGATCGGTTCCATTGGAAGATTTACATTTCTGAAGGGTTACCAAACACATTAACAATAAAAAGAGTTTAAAGAAATACCCACCTACTGAGTTGTTGAATTTCAAAGCAGATATTAATAGGGAAAGTTCCTAAACTAAGCGTTGACCTCATGAATCGCACAGAAAATAAATACATAAATATGTGAAGTAAATTGAAAAAGGTGTCATGCAGCGACTCCAAAAGTCGATGGAACCACTGATTGATTCTATCAATTTATTTAAGATCTTTCCGTAATATTTATGTTTGTATTTATATTGAGAAATGATATTTTCTAAATTTCTTGAAAATAGTCTATTATCTCAGATTTTAGTCATATTCTATTAAATCCTAATTATTTTTGAAGTCAAGTGTAACATTGTTAATGTACCTTTCGTTAAAAATAAAAATATTATGGGATTTTTCATTTTACATAGAATTGCTAACGAATAATTTACTTTATTTCAAAAATGTATAGAAGAGAAAAGCATCCCATACTACATCATCAGAGATTGAATAATGGGGAGGAGCCTTTTTCATTTATTTCAGAATGTTAACAATGAGAATCGCCAATATTGTAGACTGTACTGCATTAGCATTAACCTTGGTAATGAGATCAAATGAATTGCCATGTATAAACATCCAATATTTCTGTAAATCAAGGCAGGAAATTGATGGCTCTCTCAGACTGAAAACATGGGTGTTCTGCTTTCTTGAGTATTACTTACCAATGCTTTCTAGACTAATATCCAGATATTACAAGATTTTTACTTCTTTTTTTTATTAAATTGGTATAACTAGATATTTAAGCGTGAAAGCAAACATAATAATTAGTGAATATATTCAGTCAAATAAAACTCGGAATGATGACTCCAGGAAAGATATTTTTTCTTGTACAAAATTACAAAAGAGATCAAAAAAGATCTTATAGAATTTTGTATCTATAATCTACTGTTCAACATCAGTATAGATCTTTTGGTATCTCAGTTTTCCCTTAAGAAGAATAAAAAAGTAAGAAAATCCTTAAAATCCGGACCCTACTTACTGACTAACTGATTTTTTTGTTTTTTAATTGATCAGATGAATATCGTTAATAATAAATATTTACTTGAATGGTAATAGGTTAGTTATAACTACTCACCTAATATTCGATTATCCATAATATTTTTCATGGGTGATGCAGAATTTTCCATAAACCTGAAATTACATGAGAAACAAGTTAAAATCAAAATAACTTTACTATGAGAAACAAAACTTAAATCTGTCCATATTTACATTTTTAAAAGATGCTGGGACTTACAATGTTAATATCAAACAAATAAGTAAATATGAAATTATTTTTAACTTTTTGGCATTTTTTTTTTTTTTTATGGATTGCTTGTTTATTGATAAATATTACAATCTGTCTCAATAAAGAACATTTGGCAAAATTAAATAGCATGTTTAATGTCTCATACAAAATGTGGTTTTTGATTGGCATTAGATTCAAAATTTGTTTGTTTTATAATAAAACAAATATTGTTCACTTTTATAATACATTATTATAAAATTAATGGTGTGAAAATCCTGTTTTACATTAAGAAATCTTAATCCTGCCTTCTCTAAGAAGAAAGTCCAGGCATTCTAATGTGGCATTGGTTAATCTTAGGCAATGGTTTAGAGGAAACTTAACTTGATGGTTTTAGGAATCAGAATCAGAGAAGATAACAACATTTTGGAATGGACACATTTAATTGTAATTTATTTTATTTTATTTTTTATAAAAATCAATAAAAAAGAATTCAAAGTGAAAAATTCAAGTTGGATCTGAACAAACTAAAACCAAACTCAAATTTGTGTATTTTAAATTTATAATTCATATTTTAATTTATTAGGTTGAACACGATAATACCTCTACCAAAAAAATAAATATATATATATATATATATATATATATATATATATATATATATACATATATATATAATTATAAATCAATAAGAAAAAAAAAAGGAGAGGAAATACAAATTTAATACTTAAATATATATCTATATGGAGAAAACATTGATATCTTTAAATATTTGACAAAGGAAAATAATTATTAAAAAATGATAGAAATTAATTAGGAAGAGTAAAGATAAATCCACATAACCATTAAAAAAAATAATTAACTACATTTTTTTTTTTAATATAGCAGAATATAATTTAGAATTAATATATATATATATATATATATATATATATATATATATATATATATATATATATATATATATATATATATATATATATATATATATATATATATAAATATGAAATTTACTTATAAATTCTAAATTCTAAATTATATTCTGCTATATTAAAAAAAAAATGTAGTTAATTATTTTTTTTTAATGGTTATGTGATTTATCTTATATATATATATATATATATATATATATATATATATATATATATATATATATATATATATATATATATATATATACTAATAACCATAGTACAAATTAATTCAAGTTTTTGTTCTTCATTCCACAATACTTTTTATAAGTTGGAAATATTTTTATATTTCAACTTTCATCCTATGTTCAAGCCACGGAGCCATATTATTATTTTTTATGTTTTGCTTATAAATTCAAAGCGAATATCTATACTTTCTTTATGTAAGTCTTAGACCTACATGTTGAAAGTGTATTGATAGGTTAAAGGGCAATGGAACAGTAAATTTGTTAATAACCTTTCCTTTCATATAGGTGATGAATTTCATGACAATAGAAAAATCATGATTCCTCACAATTGGTATCTTTACACATTATAAATTTACTGTCACTGCGGATTGAAATGTTTCGTTAGATATAATATTGTACTGTAACCATTGCTAGCACTGAGCCGGTATAATAGAATAGCAATGCCATTAAATTGTTTATTTTTTATTCCACAATATGATCAAAGAGTCAAAATTTTATTTGAAGAGTATTTGAAAAGTTTATTTTATTTGATCAATGCGATTCTAAATTTTATCCAATTGTGGAGGCTTTGATTTCTCTATTTGTTTTCTAATAATGTATTCATGGAAAGACTTATAAAGAATATTTTAGCAAAATCAAAATATAATGAAGAAAAATAGATAAAAAAAAGATGAATAATTATTTATACATTGCAGATAATAAAAGATATAATACAATAGCTGCTGTTTATATTAACCATATAGTAGGCATTCACAATGATGAATATATTTATTAATTATTAATTCATTATTTAAAAACCAATAATCACCTTGAGAGGCACTCAGAATGTCACAATAGCTAACTATACTGAGAAAAAATTTAACTGCAGCAAGACAGGTATTGCGACAACAGTGTCCTACATCCCCACACATCATTTAGCTCTGCTGTTCCTACTCTCACTTCTCTCCCAATCACCATCCTAGTAAGATATTTTGATCACTGACAACCGACTTGACAAGTGAGTAAACAATAACAACATATAAATGATTTGATCATCTCATAATTTTTCATTGTAATTAATTGCTTAATAATTACTTTTTTCAGTAAAATTTTGCTATGAGACTTGTATGCTTGGTTGTTAGTTTACTTCTTGGCTTTTGTCAAGCTCAGAGATTCGGGCTATCAAATGTAGTGTCTTTAACCAATGGTATAATACCCAATGTATTACATGTAAGAATACAATTTTGTTACATTATAAAAATATAAAACAGCCCTGTGTTGGTAATTTACACTTAAGTATTGTTACAGGCCTTATCTTTTGACTATGACAATGTTGTATATTCGCCTTTTGGATTATCTACTAGTTTGGCAATAGTTTTCGAAGGAGTAGGTAATAAATTAGCAGATGATATGATCAAAACTCTTAAACTTGACAACCCCAACCCTTCTGTTGCTAAGCAAGTTCTCAGAACCGGGTTCAAATCATTGTTAGAAGAATTTGAGGTAATGTGACGTTCTTCATTATTTAATAATGAAAAAAAAATTAATATTAAAAACAATATTTCTTTAGAAAGAAAAGCATGCACAAGATGTTGCTGGTTCATACAACAATGCTCATCTCTACAGTACTACTAAACTAGTTCCTGAATACCAGAGTGTATTAGAAAACTTTTATAAAGTCTCAATCGTTCACAATTCAACTTCAACAAATTCATCAGGTAAGTTTTTCAATAATGAAGTATTATTATTATTCATATTTCGTTGTATACACTAGGCTTAGAAATTTTTTTTTTTTAATTGAACATTAAGTTCTTTAAATTTCTTATACTAATACAAATATAAAAAAACTCATCCAATACTAATTTTATTTATTTATTTTTACATTCCGCATCTACCCGATCGGGTCATTAGCGGCTCATCCAATACAAATTAAATTATAATTCAAGTAAATTTAACTTTTAGGTAAACAAAATTAACTAATAAACCAATACAATATAATAAATTTTAAAAATTACAGCTATTATTTAAAATTTAAATTACAGATTAAAAAGTTAAAACTTAAAATCTGGTTGACTAACGAGACTTTCCTTAGAGCTTTGGATTCAATGTCTAATACAATTATTTGCTGTTTCTTCCCTAACAGCCAGCCGATTAAAATTATACCTAATTTCTTTTTTACTTTAAAGTTTGGCTTTAAAAACAATTTAATCATTTTTCAAAAAAACCTTAAGAATAATCAGGGAGATATTTAGTAATCAAGTTACTTTAGAAAATAAAGAATAGTGGAGACTGTAGATAATAATAGGAACCTGTGTAGAACATTTAACAAATACATATAAAAATAGGGTAAAAGGTTCAATCCACCGAAACTTTCCTGATACTGGTTTGATTTCAACAAATTTTTATTTTTTGTTAATTATCTTTCAAATAGTTATATCACTATATAAATTATAAACCCACTTAACTTCGTTTTTGATTCAAATGAATAAGAAAGTTAACTGGATGAATTTCTACCATGGTAACCATACATATGACAAATGCATTTTTTAAATTTTTCAACTCTAGAAGGCTATTGGGTACAGGTTCGAGGAGTCAAAACCTTATAAAAAAAGAAACAAAATCAGTGCAAATTAATTTCAAGTTCAAGAGATAAATGGGGTACAGACACACTAATGGCTGAAATATGTTTTTTGACTTAGGAGATTTTGAAATATTCAGTATGTTATGTATAATCTGATGGAAATAGCACATCAAAACCTAAACCAAAAACAATAATTTTTTATTACAAGAAAATAAAAATCAATTAACAAACTTTCATTTATGCTAAATTAAACTTGAAAATAAATTTGATAATTTTCTTGATTCCCCCCTCCCAATCTTATTTATAAAAATGGAATTTAACTATTACAATTAATTACTTTTTATTTATTTTTTTTATTGAAGCAGAACTTCAATTGGAAATACACACAGACACGGGAGTTATGAGCCATTGGAAAGATTTTGACAAGCTAGCAGTATATACTTACCTTACTCATCATCCAGCAGCTCCCTTTATAAGTGAAAAAGGTATAACAATAGAAGTGCCAATGATACCTCAAGTTGGGACTTATAGAGCTGGGTATATTAATCGATTAAAAAGTCAAGCTGTTGAATTACATCTAGAGGTAAAGAACTGATAAGTATTATAGAAATAAGCTATTGTTATGATAGCATTAAAGTAAAGAATTTAAGAAATAATAATTGTGACTGTTAAGAGGTGTAAAAGCAAGATAGCTAATTTTACAGAACTCTGGTTTCCCAAGCTAAACAAACCTGTTTCAAATCCTTATTTGACCTTAATAAGGATTTGAATGTAATAGATAATAAATCATATAATAATAGTATAATAAATTCTCTCAGAAGGAAAATAGAGAGCTTTGCCTAAGAAGGAATTATGGTTTCACAAACATCTCCTGGATTATACCAACCCAAAAATTAGTCCAAGATAAAACAGAAGGAAGGGGGGAGAGGAGATGTAGATGTAGGGAGGAATTCGTAAGATGTTGACCACAACATCCCAAGTTTCATACTGAGAATCTGACATCATAACTGAGACCTCAGTCTTCTAAGCTCTTCATGGACATTAATAGACTTGATTTATATTTTAAACAATAAGAAGGTAATATTCTAAAACAAACATATAAAACAACCTAAAGCTAAAGGAGTGCATTGAAAATAAAAATACTATGGATAATTTATTTAAAGGATTAAACCTCATATTTTTAATAAGTATATATATTTAATATAAAATATTTTTTTAATTCCAATAAATAAATTTGAAGATATCATCAAGCAAATATACCAGAAGATTAACTTAGGATTTGAGCTTATTTATATTTGCTGTGCATTAAAGAAATATTTATGAGATACAAGTGATCAATACTTAGGGAAATTAAAAAGAACTTTAATAATTTATTCTCTGATTACATTTAGCTATTTATTTTATAGATAATGAAATAAGAATCAGCTTTCAGATTAGTTTATGTAATATAAAATAATTAATCAGATGAATCAGGTTTCTTCATACTTTATAATTAATCATTTTTTCATAATATTCTGATTTCTGTGGAGTTCAATAGTAATAAATAGTTTCATGATCATATTCCAGACCAAGCGAGCAAGTTTATTTCTCTTGATGCCAGATGAAAGAATCAAAATAAGAGATGTACTGGAAAAAATGTTGAAGGAAAGCATCGGATCGCTTCCTGCATCTTTGCCTTTAACTGAGATTGAGGTTACTTTTCCACAGTTTGTTATTCTAAATAACGATTTGGACTTGAGTAAAACCTTGCAGTTGCTAGGATTAAAAGATATTTTTGCAACTAAATCAGGACCAGTAAAAAGTATTAAACAGAATGCATATTTTGCAACATCGTTTGTGAGTGTGAATTCTATTGGTTCCACAAACACAGTTTTACGTGAGTTCAATACAGTATTTTATTTAATGGTATCATTTCTTAAATGTTTATTTTTCAATAATATTATTTATTTCAGATAAAAAGCTACCAAAAAGAGAAAAAAGGCAAATCCCAAATTCGCTTGTTTTTAATAAGCCATTCATCTTTTTCCTATTACACAAACCCACTAATGTCGTTTTATTGGCTGGATTGGTTAGGTCACCATCACAGGTACCATGATAACCAATACAACTAAGTTTCAAACCTTGTGATAAGATTTTTAAATACGTAGTTACCTATTACACTAGTCATTTTCATTTATCTTCACTTTTAAAATTAAGCACTAACAAAGTATAATCAAAAGATGAAAAGTACAAAATGTGTATTATCATAGAATTTAAAATTATTGTAATGTTACAAAAATTTATTAGATAATTTAACTAAAACTTACCATTATGAGGACAAATATTCAATTTTGTATTCTATCCAATTCTGAATTTTCCTAATAAAAAAAATATATTAGTTAAATGTATTGATTGATTAAACATATTACATTAGAAAATGTTTAAAACGTAGAAATACTTAAAACTAAGAATTGAAATAGAAAATTATTCTTACAAGGTACAGCATCACAACTTTATTTTTATTAAGTAACTTGATATCATGAATTTTATCACCATATAACTATTGTTATGAGTTCATAAAAACAAAATTTGATGGAAAATAAATTCTCATAAATGCATTTTTTTTTTCTAGAACAGATCATTATTAGTTTTCATGCACAACAATGAATTGAACAGGGAAATATTTTTAAACATAATCTATTAAAAGTATCTTTACAAATTTTGAATGTTTTAATTATATATAAGAGCCATTAAAAGTATCTTTACAAATTTTGAATGTTTTAATTATATATAAGAGCCATTAAAATGACAAATAAAATCTTGTTATTTTGTTAAGAAACAATAATGGTCACACGATAACAGTTATTTTTCTTAACAGGTAATTTAACATTATACATAAGTAGAAACATTAATGTAAAAGCATTTCTGCATGAAATAATTGGCACAATTGCAAACCAATCTTCTTAAATACTTGTTTCTTTCAAAGCTTCTGAAAAAAGTGTGAGAGATAAAAAAGATTCATAATAAATTTCAATACAGATTATTATATCAGTAGGAATACAATTAAATCTCAGGGCAATTAATTTGAAAATAAAAATTCTTAAAATTATGATTTTTTTTTTAGTAATAAATGTTTCAGATTGTTCTAATTGTATACCAAATCTTTGTTATTTTACCTTAGCAGCTAAGCATAATTAATATTTTGATGACATTTGTTTTCAACAATAAATTTTTTTTTTCTGATATGGAAATTTATTAAATGCACTACTATTTTACTATTAAATGCTTAGAACATATTTTATTGTAAATGGATAAATGTTTAGATATTGGAAATTACTACATTATTTTGATATATGTGTAGTTCATATGATTATACAGAACTATATTTACAAATATAATGGTTTGCTTTTTTTTTTTAATTGAATTTTCATTTCATTTTGAGTGATTGAATCATATTTGATCACTCAATATTAAAATCATTCAAATATATGAATTTATTATGTTGTGCATCTTTTATCATCATAAATGGCACTACAACCTATCACCGAGTCTGGGCCTCTTTCAAAACCTTTTGCCATTTGGTTTGGTTTGTTGCAGCAACAGTTTGTTGTCAAGAAGGATCTGTCCACCCAATACTAATACATCGGACAGGTATTGGACTAATACAATCTTGGGTATGTCATCATTCTCCATCCTCACCATGTGGTTTGCTCATCGGTGTCTTGCGAGCTTACTGAACTTGACTACATCAATGATATTATACAGCCCAGAAAGGCCTGTATTCATCAACCTTGTCCAGGTGTTTTCCTCTCAAACTGGGCCAAAAATTCTTCTCAGTATTTTTCTTTTCTGGTAAAGGCACATGTTTTGACCCATATTTAAGAACTGGGCGCATCAAGGTCTTAGAAAGGCAGATTTTTGTCCTGTTGGAGAGGGTGTCAGCTCCTAAAATGTTAGACCAGCCCTAAGTAGCTTCGGTTAGCTGCAGTGATCCTCCTATAGATTTTTAAGATGTCATTTCGAGCATGGATCTCCATACCTTATAAAGTTTACATAAAACAAACTAGCCCCTGTCCCTGCTCCTGCAATTTTAAGTACTTTGACTTGGCTTCATATATAGTCAAGCCAAGTTTTCTTGATTCTTCTTCAACTTTTTCGGGATGTTAGTTTCTTCTAATGCCTGACAGAACAATGGTCACGTTACTAAGATTGATGCAAAACAATTTTGTTTTGTATCACTATTATACCTAAAAATAGAGAAGTATGGTAGATTTAGATAAGTAATAATTTTCACAAAGGATCATTACACTCAGAAGAATAAACGTAGTAGGTAATAAAAGTAAGTAGGGAAGGCAAATATTTACCATAAATTTAAAAAAAATAAATAATAAAATTATAGTAAAGAATATAAAGGTGTATCTGGAACATGTTAAGGATAAAATAGACAAACAGGAAGAATAAGCGAGGATTGTTAGAATAAGACTGAATTCAAGAAAAGTGTTTAAAAAATGAGGGTGTTTGTAGTGAAAAAGAAAGAAAGGAGGGGAGAGGGGAAGACACAACACTCTGAGAGGATGAAGGAGGTATGTAGGAAGAGAAAATAAAGTAAAAATACTAAATGATATTCATGTAGTCATGAGTTGGCCTATCTAAAAAAATATAACAGTGAATTAAATATAAGTCATCATGTTTTTTTACAAATAAAATAAGGTCATAATCAAATGTCTTGAAAAAAAAAAAATTGTTTTTATTTGGACAGATCTAGAAATGATCTTTAAGGGAATAAAAAATATATCAAAAGGAATGGAAGAAAATAAATATTGAATGAAGAACTGAAAATGTATAAAGTATAAAAAAACTAATTGAACTGTTAAATAAAAAAACTTCTTACACACCTAGGGAATAACAAAACATTATTAAAACAAATATTTTTCAGATATTATGTTTAATAATAATATTGTAGACATTTTAAATTTTATTTTTTTTTTTAGTTTATTCAATTTCTTTTTGTTGGAAAAAATTTCGGCTTTCAATAGGCAAATTAAAAAAAATTTAATTTCAATATTTTCTATTTCCTATTTCAATATTTTTCCAACATCCCTAAGTGATCCTCACAATGCCATTCAATATTTAGGAATCCTTAGACATTCCAGACAGCACTATCAAGGGAGCTTTTGGGTTGAAGCCTCCTCAAAATTGAAAAAATATATTTTTTTCATTGGTCCTTACTTGTTTCTATGAGTGATCGAAGCCTTAATCACAGCTGTAAATTTAAACAATGTGTTCTCTTTTTAAATTATAACTGATGCACTTTAGATACTAAATGGAAGCACGTATAAAGAAAAAGTAAAAATTTTAGCCTTAACAGCATTATTGTTTCCTCCATTATACTTTAAACACATTACTGTACATACTCTATGGTCACCTCCCCTAGGTAGCTACCCCCGAAGAGTGAGTACATTAGGATGCTTTGAGAAGGCAGTACCTCCACCTTAACGGGGGCTGAGTCTGGGTTGATAACCTCCTCTCCTTAAACATAAAATATCAAGAAACGCACAGAAGGTCCTGACTCACCAAAAGATATAGTGCCGAATAAAAAAATCAATCATCCCAAATATTATACACAGAAGGTGCTACTGAAATTGAGGAAGAATAATTAACATTTCAAATAACCAGATGGTGCCCAAATCCTTAGAATCTTGTTTATCCCAAATGATCTTAAACAATTAATTTTTGTTTTGAGGTGAGAGAATGAGGAAACTCAGTGAGTAAGGTACTGTGCTACTATCATCTCTAAGTCAGATAATTATTTATAGTGACATCCACCCTGGTTGTCCCTTTGGTTGGTAGACCATCCTGGGGGATTTCCAGTTGATATAAAGAATTCTTTAATTGGGAGACCTACCTAATGGTTGAGCATCATTCACAAACCACCTCCTTACACAACTGTCGTCTTAGAAGCAATACTTATGATAAAATTCTAAATATTAAGTCCTTCATAGTAATTATTCATAACTACTACAGAAAATTAAACATTAATGATTAAAAAATAGTGACAATGTTAAGGAATATAGTATATTACTTATTAGAATTAGTATACCATTGAATAACCTAAAATAAATAAGAGAAAAATAAAATAAAATAAATGTGTGTAATTAGTAGGTAGAAAAATTGTAGTCTATATGCAATGATCTAAAGAATAAGATATACAACTTAAAAAAGGATAAAAGAAATATTACTGCCAAAGGATATAATTACTTATTAAATAAAAAACAAAAAGAGGAAATAATGATCTATTAACATTGAATCTTAGTATGGTTCTATAATAGTTCCCAAACTTCTTGTTTATTGTGAACTAGGGATGTTATAATGATGCTCTCTAATTACAAGAAAAGAGTTTTATAAATATATCCAACTATACTAAACGTAAAAACAAATTTTATTGACCTTGGAGAAAGCAATATTTTTTAAATATTCTAAAATTCCATGTGTTTTAATATTTATAATAGATAAAAACTTTACTTGCCCTTCTATTATTAATGTACATAATTATGCTATTTACCTCAAATTATTGTTTCCAGGAAAAGTTTTAAATGTAAAATAGATGGAGTTAAAATTTTTTTTACCAATATTTATAATAAGGAAAATACATACAGAGAATTTTGAAAAACTGTAGAAGACATATGGATGGTGACGTCATTATTTGTTATATGTTTCCCGCTCAGCGTATTAATAGCAATGAAAATAATTTTATAATTAATTAAACACTTTTATACAAAGCCATTATTTTTATATGCTATGGAATGTAAAATATTAATTTATTGTAGATTTCATAAATTATGGTGTAAGAATAGGAGAATATTAAATTCTACCTCTATGTTATTAGAAGCCAATAGCTTTTAAATCGATCTAGTGAAAGCGGTTCGAACTCGATTCTGTCATCGACTTTGCTTCTGGTTTAGGTTTTGAGATAGCAGGTGGTGTGATTGTTGGAGTATGTTGTAGTTTAAAATTTCAAGTACTTTATCACAGTTCTTATCAACATGTAAGTTTATTTAATCATTATTACCCATTAGTAGTATTGATATTTTTCCTCGTAAATTTGCATTTTAGCCCTTTGGTGCTATTTATTTCTTTTATTTGGAGTACTATTTTATTGATCTCTTAACGTTAAGTTCAAATTAAAAGTTTAAAATAAATTATTAGTAAAAGTTGACATTATGGTTAATTATGTTTAGTTTCCATAAAATTGTATGATGATTAGTAAAGTTGTTACTAATACCATCAATTAAATTCTGTGTTTATTAGCAATTATACAAAAGGATTCCTTGGAAGTTAAGATATATTATTTTTAAATTATGATGGCTCATAACTCATT